TCTAGAGAAAGAAATTGTATATTGCAGGAGTCACTGTTCAGAAAGAAAAAGTGTGATGTGACATATTAATGAAAATTGCCAAGAATATTTTTTCACTCACTCCTTTAAAGGACTGAGTGATCCAGGCATGATGTTGGTGATGCTTTAATTGTTCTCCCTCTCTACCATCAATCGTGACCATGTTTCATCTAACCACTTTTTCTCGTCAGGGTCCCAGGGTTGACTAAATTAAAACGTCAGTATTACCATAGCCTACCTGCTGTTGCTATGTAGGCTATAAACGTTTGGGAAATCATTTCAATATTCGAAGACAGAGAATATAAGTATTTATCTTGTGCATTTCACTTGATCAATTTTAATGCACAGGCTATTTAAAATATTATTACATCCCATACCATTTAGGCCTACTTATCCTAAGTTCGTGCACGCGTTTAATATTCACGTTATACATCATTATGTTTAAAAGGTGCATAGCTGCGTTGGTTGCCAGTCCTGGTGAGAACCTGGATGTGTATTTCTCTTCAGGCAAGCTGTTTATGGGCTTACTGTGTAATTTGTTTCCCTAAATACACATACAAAATATCGTGCCGATTTGACAGCAGGTAGGTGGACGACGTGTCCCAGCAGATCGCCTAGCTCGGATGCGACGGCCCGTCAGCTTCCACGCAGCTATTTCCACGAGGGCCGCCGAAGGGCCGGCGCGCGGCTTCGGCGCACGCACGCGCGCTCTCTCTCTCCACGGGTGAGCTGGAGCATCTCGCGCTGTCTGCGCCACGAGCCGGTAACAGTTGGGCTCGTTGGGCTGTTTTGGCGGCTGCACCGTCCTGTTTGTACGCTGGTTTGTGTTCCTGTAAGTAAAGCCAACCAAAAAAACACCCATTCCGTTTCCGAAAAATGGAATAACAGCCACAAAGTGTAACGTGAAGGTCATTTCCATTTTAAACGCCATTTAAAATACGTAGTTTCTGCGGTCGGCGGCCTTCCTTTTCTTGTCCCTGTTTAATTTAACTTACCTCTACACCCTGTGTTCAGGGAAATAAAGGCGTTCTTCTTATCAGAAGCGCTGACAAACTCCGGCATGCACACAATATTTCGCCTGCCGTGGGACCTGCGGGCGGCACTGGGGTTTGAGGGGGGGGTCAATAGTTGCTGGGTGGCTCCTTTAATGGTGGTAATCAGTTTGGAATGGACTTGTGGGTCAGTAATGAGGTTTTAATGATGCAAGAGAAATCGGCTTGGCGATGCCGAATAGCGGCGGCGGGCCCCCGCGGCGCCGGGTAAGCTGAGGACGGACCACACGGTGACGATCTGGTACATTGCAGGGGCGGTCCTTAAGCCGCCCCTGATGGGTCATCATACCTGGCAGCAGCTGCCAGCCACCGAGAGCAGTGCTCCTTGCCGGTGATGCGTGCTGTCTGGGCAGGGTTTAGACAAGAATCAGTAGGTGGTCGTAAGTAATTAAGAAACTGGCTTTTTGACCAACAGGATGATGGGGAGGGGGAATGGGTGACTAAATCACTCTAAAAATAGAAAAATGATCACACTCCCCAGTGTTTAATCAGAGCGGTACAACCTACTATGTAATCACACTCTGATCTTTTTTCTTTTTACATTTTTTTTTGGGGGGGGGGCAGTCACAGCCAGACTTTAGGGAGGTTAATTTATGAAGGTAAATTTCAAGAAGGTGGAAGAAAATCCTAGTAGCAGGGATTAGCAGGTGTTAAACCTGTCTGTGAAGGGGTGTGTTTCTCCCAGCACCCAGTAAAATCTAAGAACTGTGATCTCTGGCTACTTGACTAAATATGCTTATTAGGAATTTTTGTGTAACATTTTACTTAAGAGGGAAAGGCGCACACATTCTTCGACGTATAGACATCCAAACACCTGCAGGCTATTTTCTTGGCACAGTGAACAGAACTCTATGGTGTGCGGGTTGGGAATGTACCAGTTTTTACCTGGGAAGGGTTTTTTATTCAGGAGCTGTTTTTTGCAGCTTAGGGCACCAAAAAAAAGAGAGAAAAACTCAGGCATGGGTGTCTGAGAGGAAAGAGGAAACGGCAAATGGATTCAGTACTACTGTCTGGAATTTGAGTCTGTCTGGGTTTACCGGGGGCAGGCAAATAACAGAACAGAGCAATTTTTACATTCAGTCAGGAACCTGGGACAGGTGGAACCCATCACTACAAGTTGAAGGAGCAAAACTTCAACAATGGCACGTTTAGGGATCAGTACTTACATTTTTCACCTCAATAATGTGAGATTGTGTATGATTCAAAGAAAAAACTACGCATCTGAAGCTGTGTCACTGGTGTTCTCTGTTTTTTTGCTTCTGGCTATTGAAGTTGCTGTTTCTGTCCAGGAGGGGGCACTGTTTCACTGGCATTCCCTAATTGGTCTTTATTCTGTAGCGGGAGGAAAGCGTCATAAACAGAGAGCCTAAATTACTGCTCAACAGAGGTCAGTTATTGGAGTGCAGAAGCACTCATTGTGGAGCTGTGGGAAACTTATCCTCTGCATCTCAGCTTGTGCCTCAGTGCGGTGATAGGTGAAAAAAAATGGCAGCCGTGAATCACACATACTGTACAGAGGCAAAACTCCCTGGTTATCAGTGCAGAGGACTGGGTCTCTTCCTCTCATCTGGTGCCTAGGCCCAACTGCTGTGCTCTTTGTGCTGTCCAGAGTAGTGACCTGATGATGGCAGAAACACTGATGAAAAAGGGTCGCATCATGTGCTTGGGGTAGATGTAGGTAGGGTGGTGTGACATTTGATGGACTTACTCAATGTCAGGTTAGCCATAGATCTGTGCCATTTAGAAACATGCAACTCAAGTGTATTACAGTACCTAAATTGACCGTATGTGTGACAGTGTACAGTGTAAACATATATACAAACAATTACTTGATGAATCGTCAGATTAATCGGTTTATTACTTCTGTACTCGATATAAATACAGAAGGCCAGGTTGTTGGGAGGAGGGATGGATTTCCTCGCTGGTTCCTTGTTCAGTGCCTCAAAATGTGCGTAGAAGTCATTTAATGCATCCAGCAGGGAGGCATCACTGCTACAGGCCTGAGGACCAAGTACTGTAGTACTTTAGTACAGTGTGAGGTCACCCTTTCACTGCTTTGTTACCCCCCTTTGTTTGCAGTAAGAGCAACTTCTGACTGCAGTTAAGATTTACCTCAGCTCTATCATTGAGTGCAATGGGGTGGCACCCATCTTGGGTTATCTCTGGACCCCGCACAACCCTGCATAGGACAAGTGGATATAGAAAGTGGATGGATGCATCAGTGAACCTTTGTCTGCCATTTGACTCGTATATGAAGTGAAGCGATTAATTATCAATACACCACAGCACAAGTGCACAACAATGAAATGTGTCCTCTGCTTTTATCTCATATGTGACATAGTGACTTAGCAGTGGACAGCAAATTCATCATCCATGGAGCAGTGCTTGGGGGATGTATCTTGCCCAGGGTACCTCAGTGGTATCTTGCTGGCCACTTGAACCAGTAACCTTTTACTCACAGGTACTCTACTATGACCATTGGGCCATCACTTGGAAAACAGGAGCGAGCTCTCTATGGATAGCACTTTGAGCTTGGTGTACAGAGGCACAATCCATGAAAAAAGGTCTTATTTGTTTTGTCCAAGGTTTGTCCATTTCTGAAATCTGTGAGGTGGACAATGACTAAATGGAGGGTTTAGGCATAGCTCTCCATTTGATTCACATGGAGGAAGGATGGCTTACATGGTTTTGCCAACGTGACAGTCGCCACAGAGAACATTGGAAACATATTTCCCAGACCTTGCTGTGGGGATAAAGGGATTACTGGCAAAACGGGGGGAGGAAGGCCGAATGTCAGCAGCACTTGAACGTCCTGTTGAACCATTTAAAAGATTGTGTTAAATGGGGTGACTGAACAATTAATCAGAAGGTGTGCTAGAATCCCAATCAGAGGGGCTGTGATGTATGCAAATGAGATCATTAATATGCTGGTTTGCGTTCAGTCTTCAAATTAAGAACTCATTAGTGGCACTGGCACTCTGCTTAGCTTGTAGTTTCATTAATAGAAATTACCAAACGATAATAACGGAAAACCCATATTTATTTTCCACAGAGATGGGATTTTATTGGGAGAACTGGCATGTCAAAAGTAATACAGATTCACAGATGTCTGAAACTCAAATTCTTCACCCAGAGATTTGCTGAAGTGTCACTCCATCCATATTCACTTGATCCAGTGGATTTTTGAGGGTGACATTGCACATTTGTTCAGTCTTAGCTTTGAGCACCTTTACTTCTTTTCACTCAGGTGGAGCGCATGATTTTTTTCCCTGTAACAAGTAATGTGGCAAATTTAGGATATGAGCTGCTGCCCAAAATGAAGCTGTTGCAAAGTGTACTAATCTGTGAATGAGTACAGAGAGTCACACGGTGGTCCCTGACAGTGGTCTGACTTGTTTAAAATGACCTTGATTACAAGAGGATAGACATAGTATGTTAGACTGAAGTGGGTTGAGCTGCCTAAGAATTATATGGGGTAATTAAAAGTGAGTGACTTGCTTGTATTTTGAAAGCCATTGGTTTTATTTTATAGCAAGGAGGCTGTGTGTGCGCAGGGGTAAGGTGTATCGTGTGGAAGTGGTTCCGCTTTGCGAAATGCGAACTGATTTGGGGGCTGGCCTTTGCTGATGGTATGTTTTTCCCCTCCTTCTGTAATTACAGCAGGCTGTGGCCAGCAGGGCGCCACGCCAAACGGCACAGAGCAGATGGTCCAGGCCGCTGCATCGTCAGGTAACCGTGACGACCGCCCCCCTGCTAGGCCACCTCATATTATGGCTTCTCACAAAATAATGTAAATTAACAACGTTGGAGGCCATGGCTAAAAACGAAAAATTACCAGAGAGCCAGCGGTGTCGTCAGCAAATGCGGCCTCCTCCGAGACTCACTAAGCACATCTACAAAACATCCTGTTGAGGATACAGCTGTGCTCGGATAAGCCCTTTCGTGATGAGCAACGGTGATCGTTTGAGGTATAAACTGAATGGCGTTATTTATTCTGCTAGCTTAATTAGCCCTGGGCCTCAGCACCAAGGCCTGGCTGTGGTCTTCCTCTTCCAGAAGGATCGCTGTGGTTCTGTATTGCTTCTGTGGTTGTTTCTTATCCAGAAGGCATGCAAGTAGTGGTCAGGCCACAGTTGTTTACGGATGTCCATTTGGAGTTGAAATTTCTATTATTGTTGAGGCACATTATCCTACATCATCATACGCAGAGTTGAATGTCTGTGGTTTGCTGTATTTCTCTGTCTTGGTTGGCTTTGATTTGGATTGTCTCTACTCCACAAAGACCCCTAATCCTTTCACCCCAAGACTCATTTGTTCACATCATTGGTCAGACATTGGTGGTGTGGATTGTAGATGCTCTGTTGTAAAAGCAATTAAGAGCCAATGAACAATAGCCATTTCTGATCAAGTAGTTTGTGGTGTCAGCGTGCAGTAAGCACTGGGTCAGGCCCAAATTTGTTTTGCTGAGGGAAAAGGAATAGAGTAAACAATGAAAAATAGCGAACATGCATTTGTGAATCCATGGGTGAGAAGTGTAGTGAAGGTATGCACTTCCTAAGTCTCCCAGAAGGAGGCAGTCTTACATCTCTCAGGGAAAATGCAGAATTGGAGTTTTTACATATTTATTAATCCTGTCATGTGATTTTTGAGTCCTGCAGCCTCCTTGATGCTTGCGTCCAACAGAAGTGCCCCTCTTTCCTGTGTGAAGGACACATGGGGACTGAAGGCAAAGTTTGCCAGTGAATAATGCAGCCACCCACCTTTCTCACGACGGTCGATTTGTCACCACTGGCGCTGTGGCTGGTGGCTGCAGGATGTTTAAAATGGTCTGTATTCTCATTCAATGTGTGGATCACACACAACTCGATGATACTCAGCTGACATGAGAAAATATGTGCGTGTGTGTGTGTGTGTGCTGGTTTGCTTGTATGAGTGTACATGTGTCGTGTGAATGAGTACATATATACTGTCTGAAGGGAGGAGGCGGGACACCACTGCAGCATCCATCCATTCATTCATCTAACTTCCATAACTGCTTCTCATGAATCACAGGACACGAGGTGGTGGATGCACTGGATGAGATACCAGCCTGTCATAGACCCTGCATGTAAATGAATGTGCTATGAATCACTGTGCTTCCATATTAGGCGGTAATATTTTAGCATCTCATCCAGTTAACAACACTGCACAAAGCTTACTGCTCTCGCTGATTATGAGCCCATGTGGGTGCTCTTTGGCTGCTGAAATGTTTATGCGCTGAGCTGTAAGTCTCTATTTCAAAAGTCTCAGGCAAATGAATAAACAAATCTAAATGTAATTTAATTAAACTGTGAACTGGCAGGGAGGGGGGGGGGTCCTTTTTTTAAATGTACAGTCTCAGGCAGGGAGAGGATGAACATTGCTGGGAAAACTGGAAGTGAGGCCACACTGGCAGCTGGGTAGCCCAGGTCCACATGACATAACAACACCTGTCTTTGTCAGGGTTCTTGGAGAGGGAGCATATTTCTACCTAGAAAAAAAGCAAAGTTTGTGATGAGACTTCTATAAGTACCAGACTGGTGGGAGGTGCACTGAACATTAAACAGTGTGAATATCCTTGTGAGCAAACTGCGCCCAGTCACTGGGCAGATGTTGCTCAAGTGAGGCCAGAACAGAGCAGCCGACGGAATCCGAGATCCCCCTGCGAGGACGGGTTTGAAAGGGCTGCAGAATTTCGAGAGCGAGATAGGAGAAAATGTGCGTCTGTAGGCAATATCCGGAACGCTTTCGCAGAAGCCGCATGGCAGGGTGGCGAGGACGAAGCCACTGCCAAAAATAGACCATCTGAAAGCCCAACGTTACAGTTTGCAGTGAAGCACTTGAATAATCCTGGAAAGATGCGGTCAATAGTGTTGTGGAAATTAGCCATTTTTTTCCAGAATGTGAAGCTTTTGGTTTGTTGCTAGACCTGCACAATTGCCAGACAAAGGAGGTTTATTCAGTATTATCACATTTTCGCAGCCAAGTTGCCAACAAAGCGATAAAATTTATAAGTGTGCGAATCATGAATTTGTGTCATGGGCAAGTGAGACTTGACTTGGTTAAAGCTGATCATGACTGTAGGGGTTGGTGACCACGGTCATGTGCTGTGGTTTTCGTTAACGGCATAGGGGTGGATCAGCTGTGGATGTTCAAGGGTTTTCAGATCTGCATTTATCCCTCTACTACTAATGATGAAAATCATTTATTACAAATATAGGTAAAAGCAGTGGGTAAGTTGATGTACATTTTCTAGGTAACTAAAGTTATAAAAATGAATTAATTTCTGCTCTCTGTAATTCATGGTTTCCTGTAGAGCAGGAATTGTTGTTTTTCACTCCCTGTGCCTCCCCACCGGGCCTGCTTTTGTGTTTTGTACCTCATTGTAGTCAGTGTTGACTATGTGTTATGCTTATCAGGGCTACCGCCCCTCCTCTACTCTGAGCATGAGCTGCTTCTTCAATCGACACCCCTGCCGATGCGCTTATTTTTCACACTGTGCATTGATCGCGTGAACGCACCGCGCTTCCTCCTTCGAGGCCAACATCCTCCCAGCCAGGAAAAAGTGATAGAACGGCCCTGGTCAGAATCTTTCACATTTCTGTTTTATTTATTAAAAGAATCTTTGGCAAACCACTGAATTTAATGACACATTTACTGAACAACTAACTTATTAAAAGTAAATAGTGATCATTTGGTATCTCTAGTAAATGGAAAAATGACTCTCTTAACTATGTTACTGATACAATAAGGGATCACTATAGAACAACAAACCTCAACAAGCAATAATTGTTTAGTTATTTAATTTGAATAGCCACACACCAACTAGCCTGCCCTTCATTAACGCTGAGAAGTTTTTGTGCTTAAATCACTTCTATCCCCTGGGCATCTTTGAATGTCGGCTTTACCCCTTATTTGTTCAGATGCCACCACAATGATGTCAGTGGAAACCAAAGCAGAGTGAATCATCTCACAAGCAGAAGTTCACCCTCCAGGTGTGGTATTCTGAAAGGCCTGAGTTGCATGGGTGCCAATCCGGAACGTGAGCTATCTCCGCAATCCCTGCTGCTGCCTATTCCACTCCCCTCTCTACTCCCACAGATCTCACGTGGCTGGTGCTCTAGCTTGGATGTCAGGTGGAGATTGGCCTGTTTGCCAGTCATTAGGAGAAGACATGTAGCTGTTTCTGGGGAGGAGGTGATGATCAACACAGCATTAGCCCTTGGCCTCCATGAGATGCAAACAGGGCTGCTTGCCCATCCTGGCCTTGGCGTTGGGGTTAACAGGGAGCGGGCAAAACCGTTAGTGACTGTTGGAGTTACCTTCTGTGACTGGTGATTAAATCCTTGAGCAACAGAACTCACGGGCCGAGACAAAAGAAAAGACTCGTAATCGAATTACATCAATGCTTGATCTGTGCCGCCTGCCCTTTTGAGTCAGCACTCAGAAAGACACAATAACCAGGCTTTTCCCTGGAGTATCTGTTGTCCTACCCCATGGGACGTCTTGTATTCCTGCTGATTGAATTTGTGTTTCACGACTCTAGGGTTTACAGTGGGAATAGTTTGCTCTATTTTAATGTAGATAATCTTAATACGTGTGCCTGCTGTTCTGTTCCCCTTATGCAAATTCCCTTTGATCCAACTGAGTTGGGTGACTGATGGTTCATTACTGTATCGGTTGTCCATCTACTTGGACTGAGGTATGTAGGACCATCAGATGGTTGTTGGGCTGGCTGTGTTACTTGAAAGTACTTAATGTCTGCTGTCTCTGCTTTTACTGGCATGACTGACTGGCAAAACCCGTAGCTGACTCAGAGTGCCATTAATGGCAAGTAACCCACAGTTGAGTGCCTGGAATTAAATCATAATGCAGTGAGTTGTTTTGGGGTATGATTTCACAGAGAGCGGCTACACTATGGAGAATATGATACCCCCTTCCCCCACCATGTGTGTGCCTCCGATTTGTTGCGTGCCTCCAGATAAGCTGCCTGTAGTCTATCGTATGGTACACACTTCTATACATGGGTGAACTCTTCAGGTAACCTCTGACTTTTCCCCAAAACTGACAAGTTGAAGAACAAGTTCATTTCTGACTTTATGAAGTACATCTTCACTGTATGCAGAGATTGCAACAAAAATTTTACAATGATCCTTCGGTCAAATGATATTACAAGGCAGTCACCTGCCATTCCTAAACTGAGGTTCTGCTCACAGGATCTTCTGATCCTGTAGCATCTGTTGGTGATATTTGGACTTTCAGAATGTTATGACAGTGGAATCTCATTATCTTTTAGGGATTAATTTCTCCAGTTCATCACGTGATGTGGCATATTGGCCCTGCATTACATCCTGGGACCTTGTATCAAGTTGGGTGGGGCTCTGAAGCTCAAAGCATTCTGCTGACCTCACCAAGTGCCAGTTAATTAACGGTCAGGTGATGTTGCCTTCATGGCTTTATTTGGCATGTCTTGATCACCCATAAGCACTATAGGATCAATCTGGTATTCAGGTGGGGTTAGTGTGAATGAGGTAAGGCTGAAGGCTGAGTACCCATACATGATTTTCTTAGTGCTGCAAAGTGGCTGCAGATGTAACAAATTAAGAATAAGCTCTGAAACTGATTTAATATTCAGAAATAAATATGCAAATGTTTTTATGTATACGCCCATACATTTTCATTTATGACCAAGCTAAACCATTTTAGTTGCAGGTTTTGCTGCTGCATATATAACAAATTTTAGCTCCTCCTGTCTTCAGGAGGAATTAATAACATTTGTTTTTCTATATGTTACTGTGATAAGTCTGCCTCCCACCCACAGTGCAAAGATCTGTCATAAAATATAAGCGTATCGTTACCACCTGCTAGTTTCAAAGAATGTTTATCCTTTTTTTACAATAAAATATTTTGCATATATAAAGTTATGAATAGCAACAAAACAAGCTGAGGA